CGAATGCCATGACATTATGAAACAGTGCCTTAATGAAGAAAACCCACCCAAAACACTCCCACAAAGACAGCCACATTCTTAACTCTGTTACACTTTGCACTCCCTCCTGAATGCAGGAGTCATCTCTCTACTTTCAATCTCTTTCTTTTATTTTACCATTGGAAAGACACCCACACCCACACTCACAGCTGAGCAACAGAAGAGGAGGAATCAGCTGAACATTGCCTGCCCAGGGGAGGGAGACCCTTCCTCCGCTTTTCCTACTGTGATCCCAGTCTCTGTCCAGCATGAGAAGTGAGGGAGAGTCACCTTGAGGTTGGGAGACTCTCCCTCCTTTCCCATCCTGGGGAGCAACACCTTCTTTCTGAACAGGGAAATGAGGAGCCTGAGCACCGTCAGAGGCCCTATGCTTCCCAGCCCCCACCACCACCATGTGGCTCCAGGCTCCGGGGACCTTGGGAAATATAGGAGCCATAGCAGTCTTCCATGTGCCTGAGGATAGAGGGGGAGGCCTCTCTGCCCTCCTGCCTCAGCCAGAAGCAGTTCAGAGGGTGCGAGTGGGAGGGAGGGCCCACCGTGGGGGAAGGGGGCCATTCGGAAGCTGGGTGCCCATCCGAAAGGTATCTGGTGGATCTTCCAAACTGGGAGATTCCAGGGCTCAGGGGCATAAATTATCCATGTCTCCTGGCCATCAGGCTTAGACTGGGGCCGGAGACGGAGGTTGAGCTGCCTGTGGGGGCAGTGGAGGAAGAGGAGGATTCTGCCGGGAATATACATGGTTCTCACTCTGCTGTAGAGTGAGGAACCTGTATATGCAATAGGTACCACTACGGTGGGAAAGTAACAGTGTTCTGTGTCTAGTCGCGCTGGCAATATGACCACGGAAACTGTCTACAGACAAACACTGGCTCTATGGCTTGGAAATAGGGATAAGCACTGCCCTCTAGAGTCGGACATGACTGGACAAGGGGAACCTTTCTGTATGACACAGAATATTAATGCATGAAATATTATATTTTATTAGAAAAATCTCTGGGAAACTAGATGAATTAAAACAATTAGGAATTTATTTACTAGAAGAATTATATAAGAATTATAACAATTAACATGAATATTACAATGTTAGAAGTGAGACACCAAAAATAACAGCATATAAACTGTGGGTAATGTAATTACCTTAACTGCAATAATAACATTACATTTCTAGTTTGACTTGTCTATAGAAAACCCCCAACAAGGCTCTTTTCTGGAGCTTTTATGTATTTTATACACTGAACACATTCTTAAAAAAATTACATTTTAACATACAACACATATTGTGGAGTTCTAGAGAAATATGATTTATCAAAAGGTTATATTATGAAAGGAAACAAAGACTGTAAATCTGTATGTAATACTCCTGTCCTATCCATTGTAAAAGGTAAAGGTTCCCCTTGACAATTTTTGTCCAGTCGTGTTCGACTCTAGGGGACAGTGCTCATCCCCGTTTCCAAGCCATAGAGCCAGCGTTTTGTCCGAAGACAATCTTCCATGGTCACATGGCCAGTGCGACTTAGACACGGAACGCTGTTACCTTCCCGCCGAGGTGGTTCCTATTTATCTACTTGCATTTGCATGCTTTCAAACTGCTAGTTTGGCAGGAGCTGGGACAAGCAACGGACGCTCACTCCATCATGTGGATTTGATCTTATGACTGCTTGGTCTCCTGCAGCACAGGCTTCTGCGGTTAGCCCACAGCACCACCATGTCCCATTGTAGATCTGCTCAAAACTGAAGGCCTATCCAGATAAGTACAGTGCTGCCTCGCACAACGATTGCTTCATACAACGACGAATTCACACAGCGATGGGTTTCTTTGAGGAATTTCCCCCATCGTTTAACGATGTTCTCTATGGGGGAATTTCACTCAACGATGTCCCTTTTTCGCTCCTGTAAAAGTGTCTTAAACTGTTAGAAACCTGTTTTAAATAGTTGCAATCATTAGCCCACCTCCTGAACCCTATGCAAACTTAATTTGGTGTTGTTCTGAGTCGTCGTTAATTTTTGGTGAATTTTTTTATTCTCCATTGAAAGCCTTTGAACGGTCAGTTGGAACGGATTAACCGGTTTTCAATGCATTCCTATGGGAAATGGTGTTTTGCAGAACGATGGTTTCACACAGCGATGAATTTTTTGGAACCAATTAACATCGTTGTGCGAGGCACCACTGTATATAGATTGTTATGTGGATCGCTTTGGGTGTGGTTTGGTTTGAACCAAATTAAAGCATCTGCATGTGCTTTGATTCATCACACTCCACCCTGCCCCTTTTAAGAGCCATCCCATTCCTTTCTGGCAGTGGCCCGAAAGCTTTTTATTTATTCATTTATTTAGCATGTTTCCCCACACTCCCTCATTATCCTGTTGTCTAGACTGTGCAGATGGTTAGTCCAAATGGAGCTGTGGGCAGCATTATCTGAGGTGACAACCCTGCGACGTATTAAGTGGGTCGTGACATTAAAAAGGAGGATGGAGAAACTCCGTCCTGTATTTCCATTTTTTTTAAAAAAAGAGTTCCCTAACTTACTCAGCACAATTCTAATACATTTGAGGTGTCTTTCCTACTATATGATGCTAGGTTGAAGCAACACTGTGTCACTATGCCACTTACTTTAACAACAAAAGGAAAGTTATCGGGCCCACTGAATGACAGCCACAGGAAGAGGCAGAGAAGGCTCCACCCACACAAGGAAGCACCGCCCCATCAGAGCTTCACCTGAGAAGAAAGGCAGGGAAAGGGGAGCTACATCCCATCTCTATCCCCATCCTTCCACCCCCCTCATGCAGGTGTTTCCAGTACTAGTGGTGAAGCTTGCTATCTGGCTGCTGTCCTCCACTACTGTTGCTGCTGCCTCCATACTCTCAAGTAAACTGGGTAAATGTACTCATGCGTAAATTGGGTGAACCTTGATTAGGCATCCTTCAGTCTCAAAAGGCTATGGTAACATGCTCTGTATGGAGGACTTGGAACAGCATCTAGTGTGGCTGAGAAGGTGAACATTACACACAAGTAAACTGACCATCCAAAGACTTTGTGGACCCATCTCATGGGAGAATAAATGTCTCCCCTGTGAATGGGAGAATTGTTCAAGTGGAAGATAAGACAGAGCACACTGAAGATAAGAATGTTTCAAGCCATTTAAATTCCCTCATCTTTGTCCATTGGAGTTTACTCCCAGAGAAGTATGGGTAGGATTTTAGTCTTAACCACCCTTTGTCGTTCTTCCATCAAAAAATCCGGACTTTTGTATATCAGGTCATTTGTTTTGCAACTTGTAACCACTGTGTTACACCTTGTTTTTGAGCCATGCTGAGTACATGAGGAGCCACATACAAGGCACTTAGTCTGAGAAAGCAACAAGTCTGCCAGTCAGTCCAGTTTTCTGAATCGTCTGTTCATTTCAATCACAACTCCAGTTATATTCAGATCCTGTTCAGTTGGGAACTGATCATCTACAGTAAAACTTTTTTTTTATTA